TTAGTCTTTAATATTTTCAGTACACATTACTTATTACTAGATATTTACTCTTAAAATAGCGTTATAGTTCTGTTTAAGCCTAATCTTAGCGTCTGTGAAAAAAATATTTGCTTGTCCTGAAATTCTTCTTTACCTATAGGCAGGGCTATTAACCATTTAACTTGCTCTTTTTCACTGGTTTTGAGGAATTTGCTTATTGTGCCAGGATATCATATTGTCAATTAGTCCCTCTACGATTCGTTCACTCGCTTCGATGGTAAATTGGTGCTAGCATGGAACAGAGAGGAGAAGGAGTCATATCTTTTATCAGCTCACTTCTAAGCAATCCTCAGAAGAAAGAGTCATCAACAGTCTTGCCAGCTGGTAGTTGTTGTTGGCATTTGCTATGCTCAAGTTACTTCTCGAATAGCTTTGCCACTCATAGCTATGAAATAGGGGGGAGAATTCTCCAGCTATTGTAACAGCCACATCATGCTTTCCTTTTACAGTTGCAGCTGATAGCTAGTTTTCTAGGTTATGCAGCTAACAAGTTCTCCAGTTGCTTTGAGCAGCTTCGCATTGTTTGGTGGTCAACATGCTGGCAGACCACATGATTTAACCAATACTGATTGTGATTAGCATGTAGCCGATCCCAACTCTCATTTAGTCTGCTGAAGAGATTGCCAACTCAGTGATTCCTCAGACTCAAACGACTGGCAAGATATTAACGGCTTCGAGATGTGCTTGATTTTTCGGGCCCCCACTCCTAAAACAAGATTCTAAGCTATTTTTGGTATTTCACCTGCAATTTTAATTAAAAACGAAAATCGCAAATTAGCTGAATGAACGCTTTCTGTAGAAAAATCGGAAAAATCCCCGGCAGTAACAGCGTTTAAAATTGAGTTCATCAAAACTTAGAAGTTACGATGTTCGTAACTTCCTGTGAGACCCAAGCGTCTCTCCAAACTCCACTTGTTTGAAAATCTAATAAGTACCAGCTAGCTTCAAATTTATGCGCTTTCTTAGGTATGGTTTCAAAATCGGCGGGCTAAATGGCGCAAAAAGGAGCAGCTCAAGAAGAATGCTAAGCAACAGCAGAGTATTGCCCTTAGTGCGAATGGAACTGCGAAAAGCGCCAGCACAGCTGGCGAAAGCAAGGAAAATGAGGTTACTCCTTTTTTCTTTGAATTTTGGGATTACTGGAAGTCAAAACTCCCTCCATATTTACTCTCTGGGAGGGGCGAAGGCACTCGAGATGTGGCCTGAGTGGTAACAAATGGCACCAGTAGCCACCCACTGACGAGGCAGCTGATGGTTTCCTCTTTCGAGGTTGCTTGCATGCAAATTGATGGCGGATTTTTTTTTTTCTGGGATATGCCACTACTAATTTAGCATCGAAACGAATGAACGAATCGTGGAGAGACTGAAAACCTTCTGAAGACAAGCGTACTACTTTGCATCGTGCCAAGCTGTGTGTTTATTACTTTTCTCAAAAAAAAAATTCGAGATATCAGAATAAAAGCGCTTCTTAAGTACTGGGAATGGGGTGGGGGAGGGAGTATTCTATAAAACAGCTTCTGGAAAAATTTGCGAAGTTAGCTTTGTCTTTGCTCCACGGTCAAAAAAGACAAATCCGTGCAACTGTAACTGACCTTTAAAAACAAGAGATTTGAATCACACAAAGGTTTTAGGCCAGTAGTAGCAGCTTTTCGACAATAACAAAAATCTCCACACAGAATCTTGATTTATGGGTCAAATTTTTGCTAATTTTAAATGAAAACTTGAAGTTTCAGGTGAGAGCTAATGAGTCTTCGGTGGAGCCAAAAAATTCGTTTTCGATCGATAGCTTGTTGGCCGCCTCGAGAGTTCCACGTGGAAGACGGCCTAACGCCAAATATCCACGTGTGCAGGTTAGCATGCTTACATAACTGTTGAAAAACTATATCCATCTTTTTTTCTTTATTTTTTTTATCATCGTGCCATCTCTAATAATGGATCTTTTCCATTTGCTTTGGTTGCACTCCTTGGCGATCAGTCTGCTGACAATTCTGAAGTACTTGTCATCTCCTGAGGGGATTACA